TTTCCGCCCGTTCCACGTGGTCCGCGGCCATTTTCCGCCCGTTCCACGTGGTCCGCGGCCATTTTCTGCCCGTTCCACGTGGTCCGCAGCCATTTCGCGCCCGTTCCACATGGTCTGTGGCCATTTTTCCGCCAGTTCCACGTGGTCCGCAGCCATTTTTCCGCCCTGCCGCGTGGTCCGTGGCCATTTTCTGCCCCTGCCACGTGGTCCGCGGCCATTTTTCCACCCCCGACACGTGGTCCACGGCCATTTTTCCGCCCTGCCGTTTTTCTGCCCCTGACGCGTGGTCCGCGGACGCCGGAACGGATTAACGGTAATTACACTGATCCGTATGGGAAATTTTGCCTCGTGTTGCAACCAATTCGAGTTGCAACCAGAGTCACGGAACGGATTAAATTCGTAACTCGAGGTTCCACTGTAATTATCTAGAAGGGTATTCATAGTATTACATTTAAAAGAATAAAAGAATATGTGCACTTTAAAGGACTTAATAGGTTATCAGGTCTAAATCCACCAAACTATTCCCAACAAATGACCATCCAGCGCATTGGAAAAGCTTCAGCAACAGGTAGCACACCACTTTTCTAGGAAGACTGCCCCACTGCTTAATAGCAATTACCATTAGGAGACTCCTCCTGATATTCAGCCTGAATCTTCTGGCTTTTAACTGGTCCTAGTCCTGCTTTCAGTTTCAAGAGAAAATAGGTCTTTCTCCTCTTGCATGTTACAGTGCAAGATATTTGTAGATTGCTATTAGGGCAGAGCAATGCTTCAGATTTGCTTTGAAAAAATTCCTTTAGAACACATGGGAGCATGAAAGCAATGTCTGTTTGGGATTCAATAATGCAACCATATACCACTGCAGTCATGAGATCCTGGAAACATATCCAGTTTCTTTAATGACAGGTATTACATTCATGCTCTCTTTGTTTTCTGAAGCACATTTTCCAAATTTAATCTAAAGTACTGCAAAGCCCTATTACAACTTTCCCCTTTTCTTTTCTTTTCCTTTCTTTTTTCTTTTCTGCAAGGTAAACGTGTCCAATTCCTTTTAACCATTTCTCATAGGGCTTAGTTTCCAGGGCCTCTATCATCTTCATAGTACTTCTCTAAACACACTCCAGTTTCTCTATAACTCTTTAAATGTGTGGTGCCAGAACTGGCTATTGTACTGCAAGCAGAGTCTAAACAGTGCAGTATACATGGAGCTATTCCTTTCTGCAACATGGACATAATGTTTCTGTTAAAGTAGCCCAAGAATGCATTGGTCTTTCTGCCACAGCATCACTGTGCTTGCTCACATTCAACTCTTGCTCCACTAGTACTTTTAGACCCTTGACACACACACACTGCTGCTAAGCAGGTCTTTCCAATCCTGTACATATTCATTTTTTGGGCTACTATTCAGATATAGATCATTCTGTTGGATTTAGCCCAATCTTCAAGCTTGTTGAGGTCATTTGAAAATATGATTTTTGTGAATATTCAACCCAATAACTTGGTGTCATATACAAACTGAATAAACTTCCATTTTATTTTAACCTTTAGACCTTTGGCAACTTTGGACCTTTGGCAACTTCACCTCCCAGAATCCCCCTGCCGGCATGAACATGAATGAGAATTCTGGGAGGTAAAGTTCACATATCTGAAAGATACCCTGGATGGAAAGCACTAGGTCATTTATAAGCATTGGGGACTCCGTTTGATACCTCCCTCCAGGTCAATGCAGAACCATTTACAAACATTCTATGGATGTGTCTGTACAATTAGTTGCAAATCCACTGATTGCAGAATCATCTATCCATCTTGTTCTCAGGATATCATGAGTTACCTCATCAAATACTTTACTGAGATCAAGGTATTCTACAATTACAGCATTTCTTTGATCTGCTTATGTCAAAAAGCATTTCAGAATGAATAATAGGCTATAAACTGTAAAAATCAGTAGTAACCAACTATAGGGCACAGTTCCTTGTATCAGCAAAAATCTAGCAGGTAATAAATACAGCACAATCCTACCCTCTCTGTTGGATTTCTGGTGATTTTTTTTTCAGGGAAGAGTGGGTTTAAAGATGCTATAATCTGATACTTTCCATTATGTTGGGTGGACATTATTAGGTTGTTGTAGACAGGTACCAAGCTCTGAAAATGATGAATGCCTTCAGTTTCATCTCAAATTCTTGGATCAGATATTTTTGAGACAACTTATCTTCTTTTTCTTCTTCTTCATCATCACCATCAACAGAAGCAATATTTCTAAATCTGTAAACTTTAAGCTACAGGTAGTCCCCAGGTTAAGAACGCCCAGTTTAAGGTTGACCCATGCAGAGCCTATTGTAGCAAACTTTAAGTTACATACACAATGGTTCAAGTTCATTACACAATACTATTTATACAATATTACATAATAATACTGTTCTGGCTTACATACATTACATACATTACATTACATTACATTACATACATTGGATACATACATACCTTACATATATACATATCTTGGGAATGGAATTTGTTCTTAAACTGGGGACTACCTGTACTTTAAATTAAGCAGACCAAATACACTATACCAGATAAAAACAGTTCAGATGCTCCAATAAAAAAATAAGATAATTAGTTAAGGTTTAATCAATTTTCTTGATTACCTGTGAACTTCAAAATGCCAAAGTCCAAGTCAACATTCCCAATTCTGTCAGCAGGAGCACCACTACTATTGTAGCGATTGTTTCATTAAGACATACAGTACATACTATGGCAGAGGTCAAGTATGATTAGGTAATTCATGCATCAAAAAACTTTTCAAAAGAAAGCAATTTTCCCAAACATTCTTTTGTTATGAATCTTTTGAATACAAGGGGCCTTCTAGAAGTATGAACAAGATACCTTGCATGTATCTACTATACATTGTTCTTAGAATTCCTTCCTTTGCTTATAGTGACTTGCCTTGCAAAATTAATCCCTCAGCTACTAACAATATGCTGAGCTTCTCAAATTTAACTAGCTTGGATCAGCCAGGCATTCATGACATTCATGCACATTAGCCAGCCATTCACAGCTAATGTGCATACCATACATATCCTGCACACTATTTGAAATACACTGACTAGAATCTAATACCACCATTGCTACCGATTTTTATTGTATAAATTCTTGTGATTCCATGATGCTGGCACCATTCAATCCTCTCTCATCCACCCATGCTGTCTGCATATTGATTAGCATATAAATGAAGTGAAATGGAATTGCTCATGAATAAATACGGCTTTCAGAATGAATTAGCTTTATTCCCAGGTTGGTAATTTTTGATATACTTTCTTAGAAATATATGTAATAGTTTACCAGCGACTGCTAGCTATTATTGGCTTACTTTTTGGTGATAGGATCAGTGAATTTGAATACAAAGAATGAATCTAAAGAGGAAAAGAAAGTACACTCACACAGCCCTTCTCTCTTATACACACATACACACACAACTAAAAAAATAGTATGGCTTCAACATCTAACCTTGAATCAGCAAGCTATCTGAATGGCTTAATAATCTGAGCCAACTATGTCTGAAGACAAAAACCTACTTTATGATCATTATGCTTATATAAAAGTACAAATACTCTCTATATAACTTTCTAGAGCACCAAGTCCTAAGATATTACAACTAATCAACTGTTAAAGAGCAAAAGGAAAAAAAATTACAAGTTTTTGACTGCTTCTTTTCATATAATTTCACCAAAGAGTAACATTGTTGTAACTTCTCTGTGAAATTAGTTCATTTATCCTCTCTTTCCAGCTATGGCAAGAACTTCTCTTTCCCTTTTTATATCTTGTCATTCAAACAGACTGTGCCAATTCAGAAGTGGTCTACTGTATGCTTAGGAGCCAAAGTGAGAAAAACCTAAGAGAACTGCATATAACACTTGCTAGATAAGTTTCCTGTCTACTTCATTCCAATTCCAATGCAGTTTGCTGGGACTCCAAGTGACTTGGAGGTAATTTCCTACTAAAATTGTGTGAAAAACTAAAAAGGGATGATGGTGGCAGAAGAAGCTTTAAAAGCCAAGACCAAAAGAAACCTTCTCTGCTAACAGTTGAAAAGGACTTACAAAAGAATCAGAACTTCTTTATAATTTTCTTGGGTTAATTTTGGGATTAAATCAGGATTTAAATTTAAATTTTACACTGTCTATAAGATAGATATACTCTTTTATAAATTTAACACATGTATTCAATTATTTGATATCTGAATACAAATAAATATTTCAGACTATCTTGTGTTATTAAAAAGTTTCATAATATTCTCATTTTTTCCTACTTTTATTATGGGGAAAAATCCTAAAACTCCTTTTTTACAATTCATTCTTCAGAAACAAAATCTATGTTTAGCAACACTAATCATTTTTATAAGATCAAATGTGAAGAAATAGTTCAGAAAAACACATGAATGCTGCATGAGATGCTACTGGGAGGAAAGTTTATGTTTACCTGATTTGTTAGACACCCATATAATTGCCTCTGATGAGATGTGGCTCGTATTTCCTACTGCAATTGTTAATGGAATCTGCCACAAGTAGCTGCAAGACAAAGGAGGGGGTTCTAAGAATAAAAATACTGAACTGATTCTTCTCACTCAACAGCAATCAGGGATTATATCAAAGGAATCAAACATTTTCAGTAAGAGAGCAAATATTTTGATTCTAACACGTTACCTTGTTTCTAAAATCAATTTGTGACTAGCAACAAAGTGGTGAGTCATCTTTCAAAAACCATGTTTTCCTTTTTTAAATATAATGTATTACCATTACATAATAGTTTCTAATAAAATAAAATGACAAAATAGAAGGAAAAATATCCAATACCAAAAATTGTATTGGCCCCATAACCAAGATTTATTTAAGGAGAATAGGCTCTGACAACAGCATGTATTTTGGTTTCAGTGACAATATACCTTTTTCATAATGCTATCATTAAAAGCATCTTCTTAAAAATTTTCTGACAATGGAATTTCATCTTACAACCCTCTATTATTACTCATATATCAGTAATCAAGTGTATAATGCTTATAGACATTTTATACATTTGTAGCATACTGGAAAAATCCAGCTTCAGTATGGTACAGTTAGTATAAAACTGATTCTGCCTTATATGAATAATGGCCCTGAATCTTGTATAGCTATTTGCTCCAGGAGTTTCCTTATATCCATTTTTCCCAACCTGGTACCATCCATATGTGTTGGGAATGCAACACCCAATTCCTAGCCAGTATGGAAAAAAGGGAAGTTCGTCTTCAAAAGTGAACGATAAAATATAAACAAAGCAAAAACAAACCATTCCTTTCTAAAACTGCTGCAACAAAATACATTTTGATATAACTAGTAGCTGCACAGGTAATGGAATTTGCATATTTTGATTTCAAGTTTAACTGAAAACTTCTTTTGAAATATATATATATATATATTCCTGCAAACAAACAGGAATGCTCTCAGAAATATTCAGGGCTCACAATTTCAATTTTTAGTGGGAGATAGAAGAGGTTTCAACAGGTGGGAAGACAAGATCCTCAACAGTACTTAAAATCCCATAGTCGATTCATTCAGCATAAAATTGGAAAGAGCATTTGTTGATTACTTCTATAATAGCTAGGATTTATTGTAATTGATTACATACTGCCAATCACAAGTATATCATTTCAAAGCAACTGAATATATTTGAAGATATGGAAAAGCACATAAAGAACCACCTTAGCACATTCAGTTTACCTGTGAATAACTCCAAAGGTCTGCTAAAGAAAAAAGTTTGGGTTTTTTGTAACTATTATTTTATTAGTAATAATAGTATAAGCCAATAGTAAACTTGGGTTGATTAAGGGAATTATTTCAGTAGAAGAAATATTCTTTGAATCTATGTAATTAAAGAGAAATAGATGGCATCTTCAATTGAAAAGTGCCTTGCTGTCTCTGCCAAATATAAAGAACAATGGCAGATCAAGTGAGATTCACAGAATAGAAACAATGCTGTTAAATGTATTGAGAGGCAAGTGACTCTGGATTATTAGACAGGGCTGAATAAACCATCTAATCAGTGCTTTAAAATGTAAAAGAGTAAACAATTATCAATATGGATTTTTTTCACACTGCGCTGCAATTCAGAATATGGTTATGTGTTTAATTTTTACTGACTATAGTAGATTAAAAACCCTCTTTTATTTTTATTTTAAGATACACAATTCAACATGTTTTAAAATGCATCTTGTTTAATAGTAAAAAATATTTATGTTATAAATTGCCGTTAATATAAGTTTTAACATTTGGAAACTATTTTTAAGTGTTATTAACATTTTTCTTAAAATCTGCAATAATATCCATAATTCACCATGGAGGTAACCTGATGAAAAAGAAAATTTCCATTCCATTAACTTTGTGTTTTATAAAACAGATGCCCCCTCATCAGCAGCCGTTTTGTCTAGAGTCTACTGGAGTTGGGTGCCCAATAAATTTAAAATAATAAGAATACATTATCACAACAAAGCACAGTATTTTTGCATTCTACACTGAATCACAGCACAGAGCATCATTGCCAAATCTCAAGGGACTTGTATTCCTATCTTCTGTTTCCCGACCCATCTCTTATAGAGTATGCTATTGGGAGATTACTGTTAGCACTATATGGCTGCAGTTTCCTTTCCTACATGTCTTGACTGCTTTCCTGTTTTCAAACCTTGTTTTGTAAGTCCTGCTTTGTTTTTGGCAGACATTCTTTCTGTGGGCGATGGGTTGTCTGGCTTTTCTTTGGATTAAAATATCTGCCAGTAGAGATATGTGGGCAATCACTGTATCACCGCTCTATTGCTCCATTGATGGATTGGGGTGGTGTGTAGGGATGGGTAAAACGTCCCAGGCTTGCAGAAGTATAAGTAATGCAGAAGACAAATCATCATGGTTTATTCAAAAGGGAATTGCTTTTATCCAACTGGAATTTTATGTTAACAATCTATCAAATAGGAGTTACTTGGTAAACAATACATATTTGGTTTCCAAAATGCTTTGACAAAATTCCTTAATAAAGGCTTTGGATTAAATTAGTAGTACTTGCATAAAAGGCCAGTTTCATGGGTTATTAATTGGTTAATACAGGAATACATAGTAGGAGTAAATGGAGTAAACTGAACGGATGGATCTTTCAGAGGTCTGTAAACTTTGGAAACTTTGTTTTCTTTTAGTCTAGGTATGCATTCTCACTGGAGTAAGCTTTTGAGGTTTATATGACATGCTAATGATTTGCAGAGTGAAACAAGCAATAGATGATGGCACAGGTACCCATTTTTCTTTTTGCTGAATTCTCTTATTTTTATGTTTTTAATCGTCTTTTTTATGTTCATTTTCTTTACACATATGAAGAACAGTTGACTCTTCCTGAGATCTGAATTTATCACTGGCAAAGGGTCAATAACTTTAAACTGAAGGCACATGAAATAAACCTGAGGAACGTATGTGACTCTAGGACTGCAGGTTGCATATTTCTTACTTAACAGTCAACAGTAAACAGTTACATAGCTAATATAATATAATATAATATAATATAATATAATATAATATAATATAATAAATAGGTAGATTATTATGCTTACTTATTAAGATCAGTGAAAACTCAAAGACACTGTGAATTTAGCTGTCAAAGAATGGCAAGTCAATAAGTACAAATGTGTCATATTACAAATAAAAACAACACATTCTTTGTTACTCTGTGTTTATCTCTCTCTCTCTCTCTGTCTCCCTCTCTCACAACACACACACACACACTCCACTGAGGGGCTCTGAAAGTTGCAGTGATTTGGCTTGCAATGGATACCTAAAGGAAAGCATTCTTCAAAAAAAATGTTATATGCAAGACACCTCCTGAAAGTAGACTGGATGAAAGAGTGATAAAAGTGTAACATGTTGAAAGATGAGTTTTTACAGCATTATGCATGATGACTAGACTACACAAATCAGCATGTGCATAATGCTGATAGTTGGGGTAATTAATTTCAGGCTTTCATGTGTATTTGTTTATCTCTTATTTATCAATAGGGCCTACAGACTACTAAAGAAATATTAAACTTTACCACATTTTCTCCTCAAGTATTCAACATACCAATGAAATTAGTGGCAGCATTTTCTAAAGAATAATTGCACAGTGCTATAACAAATTAAATTAACTGCCTTTATTGTTTTCTCATGTGTTTTAAAAGATTAATATTTGCATTTAATTCATTATTTTCATTATTTGTTTAGATTAAAAATTAAATGTGTGTTGCTATAACTGATCAGCACTTCTGCACAAAGCTGTAAGCACTAGCTTCCAGTGGTAGAAACAGGCAACTCAGGTAAACCCACATCTTTCTATGTGCATGTCTTATCTCTGCAAAGACTTAGTTAATCCAGTCAAGGCTTAGGTTATCAAGGCCATCGATAATTCATCCAGAACTGCATTCCTAAAATTTTGTTGCTGTCAGAACTGGTTCTTCCTTTCAAATTGCTCCCTCTGAAATTTTTCACTCCTCTCAACTTCTTTCTACCTCATAGCCTTCCAAATTGTCTATTTAATAGAACACATACCCCCCCCCAAATGTCTATATTCATTGTAAACACTTCAGTGAACAAGCCTACACAAAAATCAATAACATAAGATTTTAGAATATACTGAAAAACAGAATTATAAATATTATATTTTCCAAGTTTAAATCTATAACTTGTATTTTTTATTTGCAATTATTGTTTTTTTTTATTATAGCAATGCACATTATGAACAGAAGAATTAATTTAAAACCTTAATTTTTATAGGTAACATTATTTTAAAATAATGTTTCTAAAGTTCAGTTATGTTCCCTTGGAACAATAGGACTTATTTCCTCTTATTCCCTTGGTAATTCTTTTTTCCTATCTATTCAGCCTAGGGAAGCTGATGAACTAAAATGAAAGCAATTGTGGACTTCGTCAAGGTTAATCTGGAACAGATGGAGTTATTGTGTGTCAAGAAAACAACTGTACTAGGAATATAATGTTCCCCTTGATGAACTAAGTTTATTTGGGAATATTCCTGGACATTGTTAGTGGGGAACCCTAAACAGACAGCAAGGTTTGGGGGTACTTTTTAATAGCTTGTGCAACACTATGCTGTACAATCCAATGTCATGCCAATACAACACTCTGGAACTTCCCTCACTTTCTCATGTACTATTGATAACCAGGCTTGACTAGTGTAATAATTTCTATGAGAAGCTGTTTTTAAAGAGAACTGAAACTGCACAGGTACAAAATGTGTCTGTCCAGGTATGTTTAATACCAGACAGTATCAGATGTGGCACTTTATTCTATAATAGTTAAGAATCTGAATAATACACCCCTCAATTATTTGAGTTTCTTAAAGAGCATCTGCATATGTTTGTGTGTGTTGTAGACTTCCTATCTTAATCTTTATTATGGTATTTATTTATAAAATTTATATGCCGCCCATCTCCCCCAGAGGAGGAGGTTTTACAGTCCAAAAGCACAATGTACATCTTTTTTTTTTTAAGTTTTGTTTGACATATATT